GACACAATAGGTAGAATTACAAGGCTTAGAATTAGACAAGGTATTTTTTGTAAAGGGATAAGCCAAGATTTTTGGAAATGTACTGTTGCTGAGATGAGCAAGACTAGGTGGAGAGGCAATATCGCCTGTAATACAGTTGAAAGGTGTAAACAGTTCGAAATATTTCTTAGTACAGATGAACAAGAGTGGCAAATAAAGGGCACAGACCCTATAATAGAGGACTAATACCACCCAAAGTATTTGAAAAGAGTAAAAACTCTTGCATTAAATTAGAAATTTTTTTCTTAGGGCAAATAATTGATTATAAAGGCAACACACTATTAACATAGCAACAGCTCAGAGCTCTAAGGGGTAAATATATAACTGGAATAAAAGCACGGTAGTTTAGCGAAATAGAAAAGAAGGTTTTGGTTACAGCTAAGAGAAGAATACTAAAAGGGGAATATCAGCTAGGCCGTGGAAATCTAATGTATCTCCCAGTACAGCTCGAGAAATCAAAAACAGACAAGAGATGCAAGCCCTGGATAGTACTGAAAGATCAAGATTCAACAGCTCCGGTAATCAGTTATGTTTTAGATGCTAACAGTGAAGATACATACTTCGAACACTGGCTAACAGAGCCCGGTCACAATATAGAGTTACTGCACTGATGTACTGGATGTAGTATAAATATAGCAAATAAAGCAAATCAATGTGTAGGCAAGAAGTCGATAATACAAGACCTTCATCAGGTTAAAAGTATTGTTAAGAAAGAGAATAAATAATCTATGCTAATCCCTGCACTCTGGTTTTTCGCACCTATTGTTCTTGAGCAAGGTATAGAAGAGAGTTTTGTAGAGCTGCAGCCAATCGAAAATATAGATATCACCTTCATTAAAAGTTAGCACTTTAAACCAAAAGTTGAAAAGTTGTTAATTGAAAAAATAAATCTTAACTTACACAAAAGAACCAAAAATCCGGTGTTCTTTACAGATGGATCCTTGATACGTCCAAATGATAAATCTGCGAATATTGATCTAATAGGAGCAGGGTGGATACAAATACATATAGAACAACCCAAAGTAGAAGTCACCAGAGGTAGTATAAGGGTGGAAAAGTGGCCTTCATTATTGAGACTCGAACTGGCAGCGATCTGGTATGCGTTATTAACAATATGTTCAGGAAGTACAGTTGAGATTAATACAGATAGTATGGTTGCAATTTATAGTATTTAGAAAGCATTAGAAAATAGAAGTTTTAGAATATCAAGCAAATTAAAGAATTATCTAATCGTAGATAAGATAGTGGAAATGATTCAGTTTAAAGAGCTTAAAATAATATTGAACAAGGTTAAAGCACATAGTGATATTAAGTGGAACAAAATAGCAGACAAGCTAGCGAAAGAAGATGTGAACTTAGACAAAGACTGGTCAATCTGTGAATTTTTTGGATCTAGATGGCCTTTTGGTATAAGGTGGCAAAATGAACAAGTAGACTTCCCAATTAGAGCTTTTATACTTCAAGTTACTGGTATAAAAACTGAAAGCAGCTGGTATATGCAAAAAAAGTCACATCTTCATGGTGAAAACGAAAAAGCAGAAGACTTGTTTTGGAGTAATTGTTGGGGAAGATTTAAAGAGTACAGAGGCATGAGATGCGACTCAATGGAAAAAAGTCTTAGATTAGTAGGCTATATCAAAAATTTGTCACGAACACTCCCAACAAAAAGTGTTCTATACAAGAGAAGTCCCTCTGTGTATCTAGATCCTATTTGTGTCCTGTGTGAAGATAATAAGGAGGAAAATGCAGATCACCTCATGCAGAGTCAGGCGCTAAATGAAACATGGGTAGAAATTGAAAAGTTTAGCATCAGCCTAGCTTGGGCATCAATGGAGAAAGTTTATAGAGTAGCTTTAACAGTTCAAGATTTGTGAAGAGCAGTTCTTGGTTTATCGCTAGTGAAGAGAGTTAAGGCATATAGTCTTTTATCAAAGAGCCTTTTTAAACGCAGCACACTTTCGTGGTTAAGTAATATTTTAGAGAACGAAGCCGTAGCTCTAGAAACTCTAAAAGCAGCTAGCTTTGAAGATCTGATTTTCTTATTTGGGAGATTTTGCTTTGCTGATTTAATAATAGCCTCTTCAATAATTCCCATACTTGGTTGACTCTATCCAGCATATTTGGTGAAGAAGCTATGTCTATGTCTATATAATGCTCCTTTAAAAAAGGCAAAATTTTGCTATCTAAGAGCTTCCACAATGTTGCTCTATAACTCTGCCAATCCTCCTCTTTTGTTTGGTCAAGTAACCACTTTATTCGCACTGCTGAATGTGTCTTACTTGATGTGACTTCTTCTGGGTTTCTGTGTGGCTTTATTTTGATATCAACAAAAGCCGCCTCATGATCGCTCCCCGTAATTGTTTGCATCTCAATAATATTTGCTGTCTCAACATGTTGAGCTAGACAATTCGCTACCCAGATCTGGTCTATTCTTGTTGCTGTTGTAGAATTACTCCATGTATATTTTTTACTTTCTGGGTTGCAAAGTCTGAAAGAGTCCTT